GTAAAAAGAATTACAAATAAGTTTGTGAAGGAATGTAAATTTTTCACTTTATTACACTAGTCCAAAATGAAAGATGTACACTAAAAGGAACTTGCCTCCAACTTTCACAATCAGTAGGATCCATGATGGTGTCTTCCACTATTCCAGGCAATGGTCACAATTGGAAGAATCCCTTGTCTCCTCTCCTGGCACTGCAGATATCACTCTCTGTCCTAGTATTGTACAATCAGTAGATTCCTCACAAAGCATTCCACTCAGTAAAGTCCAGGCCTGGGCATGGCTTACTTGTAGGCTTCTCTGCCATCACTGCCATCTGACACGCTTGCTCTAGTGTCCACTTTCATGGAGCAATCTGCTCAATACGGTCCAACCGTGTTGTCCTACTATGCCAACCCAGCTTGGACAGTTTCGAAGCACCTCAGCCATCTTGCCACCCTACTCAGCCAGGACTATCCCATCTGCGCCCCACTCTCTGGAATCTGTCAATCATTACTTCCTTGGAGGGAGTGGAGTCCTCCTGAATACTTACTTCTTTGCCCACATCTCTTGACTCTTTTCTTCAAAGTGTAATCCCAATTATTGCTTTACTACAATTTTTACAGAATGTTTTACTACACTGCTTCAATATATTCAGTTAACTAAATATATGGTTATAGTAATTTTCAACAGCACACTGAAATTTCATACATCTTGTATATTTAGCTCTTTCCTCAAATTAGGAAATAAAAATGAAATTATTTGTACACATTCAAATATATCAGATAATGAGTATTACAGAATACAGCTTACATCATACTGTTTATGCAACAGAAGCAAAAATAAAATAGTAAAATATAAAAATAAGTTGAGAAAATGGTGCTGAATTTACTCTTTAGCTAAGAAATGTTGGTCAAACATGATTCGCGTTGGGAAAATCAAATACATTTTAAAATTTGTAAAAATTTCATTCAAATAATTCTATTTGATTGAATTTGAAATATAAACATAATGTAACAAGACCAAATCCTAATTAATAAATTCTGGGTGACATGTTGGTAACAATGCTATAACTGAAACATCAGGCACAATTTATTAATTAAGATTTTATAATGTTATATCCTATATATGTTTCGAATCAACAATCCAAATTGCACCATATCATTTAATATACTTCACTGCCCCCCCTCCCCCTCTCTTTTGAAATTATTCTTCTAATAATCTGAAGAAAATGAATTCCGAATTTAATATCAAGGATGTTGATTATCCATCACTTTAGGGTTCTATTGTAAAGAGTGCAAGATATATAAATCTCTCTTCTTTGTTTCAGGAAGTTCAGATTCAGTACTTTTGTCTGAAGTTAAACAACAATATTGCCACGAAATATCATTCACAATTTATTACTTTCAATTTTGTACTTGTTACCTTAGGTTTACAATCTATAATCCAAATTGTACTTCATTATTTTGTGTGATTACAAAATGTTTTTATTAACTCTTTAATCTGCAATATAATAACATAGTACATAAAACACAAAATCAGTTTTGACTACTATAAATTTTAACCTTCTTTTTGGAAATTATAAGGTACCCTACTACAGATAAGAATTTCAAAAATCTGAGAATGACAGCGAGTCACTGAAACGTCGAAAATTAAATAAATTTTTGTTTGATGTAGCTATATTTTTTCCCAAATCAACTTCCAACCAACAAATAATCTTCAACATGATATTCATAAAATGTTATGTTATTTTTTTAATGAAGAGTTTTTAATATAAAACGACAATCTTAAAGAACAGCAGGGTATCGTGGAAGAAACCATCAATGAAAATGCATGAATTGAACATCCCTTAAGATTCTCTGAGCGTTATCAGGTCTGTAAAAGAGTCGAGACAGCCATTCATCAAAAGAGTAGAAACACCACTATAGATAACATCACGGAACATCTGAGACATCTCTCCTAGATAAATTTGGGATAAAAGGAAGGGTGTCCGTATCGAGGACATCAGGTGTCTCTCCTTTGGCCCCATCAAAGAACAATATGTGAATACAGTCAGTCGGTTTCTGTGTTGCAAGCATGAGGCTGAGTCCATGGAGACCGACCTCCCCTCACTGCTATGCCTGTATAATAGCAATGCTCAGAACTAACAACAGCCTGCGAATACCAGGGCAGCTACATTGAGGGAGAGAACCTGCAGGACCTAGTCTTAGAAACGGTTATTCAGCTCTTTGCTGTCCGGCTTTTAAGGGAAGCAACAGAAAGCCTAATGTTAAAGGACCAGTTTCACTGAACAGACACATCTCAATACATGAGATATGACCTGCAAACCACTGTATGCCACAAGGGAAAATGAAAGGGAGGAAGGGAATTTCTTGTGAAGGGCTTCAGTAACTACTCCGGAATGACTATTCATTGAGTCCTCAAGGAATTCAATCTCTGCAGGGCTCTACGATAATTGTCAAAGCGAATTCTCATCTGTCTCGTTCCCAAAGCACACGGTGGTCCAGGCCTAAGTGGATACTGACTTATTGCCATACCTACGATGGGCCACAGAATCGTCAGTGGCAGTCTTGTTGGTTGCCTCTGTTCTCATCTGCTTATCAAAGTATCTGGCCTAAGCCGCATTCTGGAAAGACGTCCTTCCTGAAACATCGGGTGTAGTATATCTGACGAGGTAATCATTGCCACACAGGATAAAATTCGCTGGCAGTCATCTCCACCAACCTGCAGTGGGCTTTTGACAAAATGGACTGATGATTTCTGGTCTCTCAGCTGCTCTCCATCGTCCAGCCCACTCACCTTCCGCTCTTTCTCCTGGAAGTGGTTCCAGTTGGTAGCCATATCCACCATAGAGAGGTAGTATTAAAAAATGTCCCGGAGACAAGGCTTGTTGGTCATTTGGATCCCTGCTCATAGGATACATTGGCTGCGAATTCAAGCATAATTCAATCTGTACTATCATCACTGGACATTCCACAACTGTCCTGGTGTGGAACTAACACCTACCCACATATTCTCATGCCCAGCAATGGCCGCAGCCTTGCAGAAAATTGACATGGACCAAGAGCAGCAGCTTTACATACCCAAGATAGAGGACATTGCGACTGCTGTGATAGAGATGCGTGGAGACATCTGAGGCTCTTCATTGAACACGACAACAACAACTGTCAGTAGTCTTCATAGGTAAATGGGTACTTCCTACGATGTGCCGCAGATGGTACTTGAGCCCTTTGATTCCTGCTTCCCACAGACCACCAAAAAGAGTGGCTCCTGGTGGAACAAACTTTCATTCCGTACCATCATTTTCCAAGATAGAAGTCAGATATTCAAGTTGATCTTGAGCAAGGTAGAAACTTTATCTCAATTGCCTTGAAGTTACGACAAAATTAGTTCCGTGATCACTGTATAGGTACCAATAAAAAAGTCTTTGGCGTGCAACAAACCGCTTTAAAGCTGCTATGAAGGTGGGAGTTGAAGTATCCATGACCAGCTCCATATGTATTGCCTTGGTCACGAAGCACACAGACAGACAGATGTTTTCTTTCTCCATTTTACGTACCCGACCCTTGGAGAGGCACATGGTAACTGGTTCGGCATAGTCAAGGCTTGCTGGGAGTCAGTCGCGCTTTCGGAGAGTCGCTTATTAATTGTTTTTAATGAGCATTATCGTAGCGACAGAAAGTTTTACATTTTTACATGCACATTTTTATTTGATTTTTAGCATCTATTATCCAATATTTTCTTCTCAATACTGAACGCTTCAGATTGACGCTTCCTTGTAAGGTTTTTACATGTACATCTTAATAATCAATTGAGTAAGTATTCATGTAGCTAGAAATAAGACTGGGTGTTTTTATTCATACGATAGAGTTAGGGCCCATTTGAATCTGATACCCACTCTGTTGATTCCCGGATCATCAAGAAATGTAGTTAACTTATACACGTTACTTCTGTTTCCCACGGTGCCTAGTTTGAATAAGTTCTTCTTTTCTTCTGGGAAATAATGGGGTTGTGTGTTGCTCGAATGATCAGGTCCTCTGGGATTTGTTCAACTCGTAGAAGGTCAGGTGGGTCTTGTTTCTTTCTTTGGAATGGAGAAAGGTATAATGGATGTGCAAGATCCAGGTCACTGTCCTGATATACCTGGATAGAGAGGAACATCGCTCACCAAGTTGGATTAGAACCGGAATTTCACTTAGAGCGTGAGTTGCGACTACCTCGTTCTGATCTTTGATGATACAAGGTCGAGGTATTCTTGGCCAGTCTGCTTCATCCTTAGACAGCCATGTGGATGCACATCACCGCAGACATTAGCTTTCTATTTTAGACCCAAATATTCTTCAAGAAGCGGTATCTGCAGGATTATCACTTTATGATACATGTCTTCACTCTGGGCCAGTCTGAACACCTGGATTTCCGCCACCCTATTTCTTACGAAGGACGGAAGATTTATAGCGAAAGTTTTAAGCCTGGTCAATACTATAGTTGAATCTGTCCAGCAAAAAAAAAAAAATTATCACTTCAACCTTCAGAATTGCTCCAACACACCGAACATATCGTGTTAATAATAGGGAGGCACATAGCTCTAGTCAGAGGAGAGACATCTTCCTTATCATTTCTAGTTATTTCTTTGCTAACAATAGAGATACATTAATTCCATCCGTGTTAGTTGTTATCGTGTAGGTAACTGTCGCATATGCATTCGCAGACCCATCACTGAAGCCGTGCAAATCTACTCCTTCTCTATTTCTACCGAGATAACCACCGCAGGATTTTCAAGCCAGTCAATTCTTCCCTGAATTGTCTCCACTATCCCTTCACAGGCTCGTCGACGTACTCATCCCAGTTCAATATATATATACATATTAATATTATTAATATTTAATTAATTAATCCACATAATAATGTGTATTATTCATAGAATTAAAATATACAAGTATCAGAGTCATAATCAACAATCACTCAATTCTGTCACCGTTTCTTTTGTGAATGGAATAAATACCCAAATATGGCTATTTTTATAAGCATCGGTGGTTCAGTGGTAGAATGCTCGCCTGCCACGCGGGCGGGGGTTCGATTCCCGGCCGATGCATTTTTTTTTTACAATTTTAAAACTCATTTATATTATTATTATTAAAATATACAAGTATCAGAGTCATCAATTCTGTCATCGTTTGCTTTGGTGAATGGAATGCTTTTACGTAATATACGTAAAATACGTAACTAATATGACTGAAATATCAGCAGTATGTATAGTAGAATCTGGAAAAACTTATATTGAATATTTCAGGTCTCTATCCCGAATATTCTTCGAGTTATTTGCAAATTTGAGTTGCAAATTTGCTCTTTCGCTCGCAAGCAGCGCCTCTAGCGGTGAAGATGGGAGGTAATATCAGCTGACCTAATGTACATGTAAAACGTGTTTTAACAGGACATAGAAAAAAATATGGAAGAGATATTTGTCGCATTTTTAGCCAAGAAAAATTGAAATTGACAGGTTCTGGGCAAAAATAGTTGGTTTTTTTAGTCAGAAAATGATTATGACAATATTGCTGTATCATATTTGATTATCAGATACAAAATTATATCCGGAAAAATTCCAAAAAGTAGAGACCACGGGTGAAGCCAGTTCATTTTTAGTATGCAGGAACAAAATTCTAACAGAAAACATTCATTCGAGCAGAAGACACAAAGCCAGATCATCTCTTTATGAAAAATATCGCTTCTCAGACACAAAGTTTGGAGCGGGACGTTTCACAAGAATGACATCCACGGCGCCAATTTATAATTGTAACGAATAGTATTTGAATAAAAGCATTTAAGGGTAAAACCCGGGCGTTGCCGGCTAGTAGTTAATATAGCTAAGTCATATATGATCCTGTACATAACTCTTTCATGGCTTAATATATTTTAATGTGAATAAGTGCTCCTCAATAAATGAAATTTATATAGTCAAGATATTGCAATTGGCGACGAGGATAAAGTAAGTACCCACTAATGTCATTTCTAAAGTAAATATAAAGGGCTTATTTAAAGTTAAAGTTTTAAAATTTGAATTATTTTTTGTGCGAGTGTGTGTGAAAAGGTTATTTAAATTAATTAAAGCAAAATGGCTTATTGCACTTTTGGTGAATATAAAAAAGAGAGTGAATAATTTGAAAAAAAACTTTATTGAAAGATTAGAGGTAATTAGAGGTAATATCTTATTGTAATAAATGCAGTGTTAAGGAGTAAGGAAAAGCTTACCTATTAACTCTCATTGGAGCAAAAACTTGCATAATACTGAAGGACTTGTCCAGTAAAACCAAAGAACTTGAAGTATGAAGAAATAATTGAAATAATGGTTAAACATTTTTTTACGATGTACTAGAGCGCCATCTGTTATCAAATTATAAAACTATTTTAGAGGCGTAATATTTTTTTTAAAATAAAACAATTTCTACTGTCCTTACTGCGATGAAAAAATTAAAGGGAGGGCCTGGCTCATCAGTGGTGAACCCTCCCAGCGGTTTCGCCAGTTTAATCTACCATACTGCTGTTATATTGCATTTTTGGAACTTCCTTTTATAGGTGACTGTTGTAAGACTCTTGGAATGGGTATTTTAGAAGAACTATGGACATAAGCTTTTAGGACAGCAGAATTAAATATAATTATAAATATATAATATGCTTCGAGCAATCGCTCTTCCGCAAATATCAAATTGTGTCTTTTATTAGAACAATAATGTTACATTTTTTTCTCCAAAACGTTCGATTATAGTTGAACGATTTGAGTTCTTTAAAAGGAAACAACATTAAAAAAAAAAGAAGAAGAAAGCATTTCAAATTACTTTGTAGATATTAAACGATTGCATCGAAATTTAAATTTTGGAACTTTTAAAAGGATTCCTTGGGGGACAAGTTAATGTGTGGCCTACTGAATACAAAATACAGGAAACACTTCTATCAGAGGGAGATATCCCCTTGGAGAGAGCACTAGATATCGCATTGTCAATGGAGGCAGCGGAGCAAAATGTAAAATTGCTTCATCCTGATGAATGGCAAAATAGAATTGATTAATTGGGTATCAAAAAAGAGAAATAAGGTATATGCGCCAAAGGTGAAATGTAAACACTGTGACAAGATGCATAAAAAATGCAGATTTATAGAGGCAACCTGCTTTAAATGTAAAAAGAGGAGCCACATTGCATCCATAAGCAAGAATCATGAGCCCTATCCCGGTAGGAGACAGCAGATGACTCTGCAAAATAAAATTCCCCAAATTGAAGATTATGAAGAAGACGTGGTACAAACCATAACTTCTATTGAAACACGCCAACTTGTAGAGTGAATAGTGCCGCAAGTGAGCCTCCATACACTGTAGATTTAAAAATAGAAGAATTATTCATGAAATTTGAGATAGACACTGGTAGTGGCCTAACCTTGATTCCAGAGAGTTATTTCAAAAGCTGTTTCTCGCATAAGAAAATTAAAATGTGGGCCTAATTATAGATACCTATGATGGAACAGTAGTACCAATCAGATGTCAGTGTAAACTTTCAAGGCAGAACCTCAGGGCTTCGAGAAATATTGACCAAAGGAGAAAGAAAGCCCTTGTTAGGGCGAGAGTGGATAGATCGGCTGAAAATGCTACATATAGCCACGAACGAGATACATCGGAAGCTTAGCTTAGGCGTGAAGTTCAAGATTCTATTCACAACGACTTAAATGTTAATGTCTCAAATCGCCAGAAGTTTGGACAGCAGTTCAACTACGAGGAGCCACAGATAGTCTTCAGTCATAAAGACCAAGCAGCCACAGTGACAGAAGGATCACTGTTGGATCAGAAAGCTGCTAAGGGAGACATCAAGAACTATAAGTTCCCTGGAACCTGAGGCCAGAAGTGAAAGAGACCTCGCGATGTATTTAATGGGCAAGATGATGTAATATATTAATATTCATAATATATATTATTATTTATATATAAATTAATATCATTAATATATTGCATGAAACAGGATCCTTGCCTGTGATAATAACAGGAGCCAACCATTCAAGAGGGTCATAGAGTTTTGCCACAAACGATAACCTTTCTTTTGGTAATCACAGGCGCCATTGCAAGATGTCGTACACATCATACATAAAAAAATCTTCGTGGGGATTCCACCAACGTCCAAGAGTTTCAACCACCTTCGAGTGTTCAGCCTTGACCATTTCAAGTTGGGATTTCTCCGGAATGTTACTCAGAATCTCCTAAGAATTCGACGACCACTTCTTTAGTGTGAAACCGCCGCACTTTATCAAATCAATGAGATCATTTATTAATTCCAAGGCTTCTTGTTAATTATTGGCACCCGTTATAACATAATACACCTAGGTGTCTTCCATGAGCATCCTGACCGCTCTAGGGAATTTGTGTCCTTCATCCTGCACCAATTGTGTCAGAAACAGTGCCATTTGTCACGGTATTAACTCTAAATATTTTCAAGCTGTCCTCAGGCTGATCTCTTCAAACCATCTCTGTTTATCTGTATCATCTGGTTGAACAAGGATTTGTATGTACATCTTCTCGATGTCTGCGGGAAAACATTATGCTGTTTCCAGTTCCTGAGGATATTGAATATATCCTTCTTCAACTTCGGAATGGTGTAGAATCTTCCATTGAAGGAGAGTGCATTTAAAGTCTTCGAAGAGGCGTCAAAAACTACTCTTATTTTCTTTGTGGCTTGTTGCTGTTAAGAACGGCATGATGAGGCAAAAACCAATAACCCTCTTGTGTATTTGACGTAAGCTCATCAAGTACACGCCATGTGTCCCAATTTTTCATATTCATTCATCCCGTCTGAGCTCTCTGCCTTTATACAAAAGTCTTTCTAGCGCGAGCGCGAAACCTGCTACTGGATAAAATAATAGAAAGCGGTTCCGAAACAGTCGTTTGGTTTCACCCCTAAGGATCAAAAGAAAGGGTCACCATATAGCATCCATTAGCTTTGCGTCGAACTTACTTTTGATAGAGTGTTTCGCAGAACTCTTCTTCTTTTGACAGTTTTTTTTTCTTGACGTCTCCTCTTCAAAATCCCAGAAATGCCTAAATATCTCATAGGTGCTCTCATTACAATGAATAGAGGTGTTGAACACCTGAGTCGGACCCGTTGTATCCTCTTCACCCAGCTTCCCCGATATAATCCAGCCCCACCTGGCCCTTTGAGTGTAGAGCTTAGTCTTTTCGCTTCTCCAGATCTCTGGAAATAACAAGGAACTATAAGCGTCAGTTTCTATGGTTAGGTCTATTCTTTAACTCTTGTCAAAATGAGGATCTGCCAGGTCGATATTCTTGAACGCTCCTGGTAGAGGAACGGAAATGTCCCTGCTTGGCAACAATCCCGTCATCCTTTTGGCCACTAACGCCTGTATTGGCCACCGCCAGCATGGATCCACCAAGGACTCCATTTCAAAGTGGCCTATTCTCTGACATCCTAACCCCTTGGAGCTTTGATTTGATTCCATATATCTAGACGCTCACTTTGTAGATTGGAATCTTTACTTTTTGCAATACGTCCCGACGGATGAAAGAGGATTGGGAGCCTCTATCTAACAGAGCTCGAGAAACAACTTTTCCCCTTTTTGGTTAACGATGCGGCCCAAAGCAGTAGCTAAGAGAACTTTGGCTACTGCCGTTCTGATATGTGTCCCAGCGAAGGAGATATTTTACTTCCCTGGTTCAATAAGGCTTCTACATTGTCACATTTCTAAAGTGTTTTAACTTTATCCTGGTGTTTTCCTTTTCCTCCATGAGGTACAACAAGGTGTTATGATTATGTTTGCAAATCCTACATCTAAAGTTTCTTGTGCAGCGATATCACACATGCCCAACTCGCATACATTGAAAACATGTCTTGTGTCGCTTCAGTTCTTCTTACTCTTTTTATGGGAAGTTACATCCAAATAGGACAATGACAACATTGTCAATGGGATTCTTTGCACAAGATGCATTTTCATTGTTTGGCTTACTCCCTTCTCTCAATCTGGCTGCATGTAAACTTCTCACTGATGATCTCGCCTCGTTAGGTCGAGAGGGTTCGCTTAAACCCGTCTTCACATAGGCAAGACGCT